GCTGCAAATTACCATTGACAATTGGTGCGCGGTTTGATTATATTGTAATTTGAAACCAGTTTTTAATATAGTATTTTTGATGTGATGAATTCTATCGTAAACCATTTTTAATAGAGTAGTTTTAATGTGATCAATAATGTGATCCATCATTTATAGTGCGAAATCATCCCGTTCGTAAATTAGATATTTGTGATGAAATTATTAATAAGTTTCCAATGCAATTAGTAATGTGTCCATTTTGCGTGAAGGTGAATAATAGTGTACTTTAGTTGGTCACAGAATAGAGGCAAATATTTGAGGTGGGGTCGAAGAAGACTACTTCGTGAGGAAGTTCATGAAGACTACTTGGGGAGTAAGTTTTAAAAGCCTATTGGATATATCACCACAAATCACAACACCCAGCAATGACAATGCAAATTACAGTGGAATCTGGAAAAGGTGAGGAAATGGAAAGCACTTTTCCATAGTCAATGTTTGTTTCGTCGTTTCATGCTATTCCACAATTTTGCCTGCTTTGGTTGTTTAGCAAAATTTACCTTATGCACTACTGTCTGCTTTGTTTATTGAGAGCAGAGAGAAGCCTGTAAATTTCTTTGATGTTAATTATTGAGTGAATATGAAGTGCATGTAAGCCCTGTGTATTTGAGTTAAATAAATTTGGTTTACATATGTCAGCCATTTTTAATCTCTTTCAACATTTAGAAGGTTAAGATTTTCTTTTAAGAAGTTCTTCTTTATTGTCCATAGGGCATTTTGTCATCAACCTGGCATTCATATAAGCAAAAAAGAAACGCAAAAGAATGTTACACTAAAAAAACTAAAGTTAACTTGCGTATAAATTGACGTAGGGGTCGATGGTGTAAGAATTCGTAATTTTATTTTTGCCAATTTTTAAACAATATGGACCAATTTATTACATATGTACTCTAAACTACATGAATGTAAAATGTAATTACGTCTTAAATTTATTCGTTAAATATTGTCTACATGTAGCAATGTGTCATCTCTTTAAATTTGACATCACTTTAGCAATGTGTAAGGATCCGCCTAGTAATACTATTCTTATTTTTTTTTCTATTTTAATGTGGAAGTGGAATTCAATGTAGGAAAAGGACCTCCAACTTACTCAAAGAACGGAAAATACTTTTATGACTTGAGGGAGACCCCAATCCTTGGAGGGATTGGGGTGAGTTTTGTCTATAAATACAACTTCACTCTGCTGATGCCATTGCAGCTTCTTCTTGCTTGTTATATCCACACACAGAGAGAGAGAGAGAGAGAGATGGACATCAGCTTCAGATTCCGTCCCACTGAAGAGGAACTGGTGAACCACTACTTGAGGAAGAAGAAACAGGACAAAGATTTTAAAGTCGACCACATCATCCCTGAAATTGATATCTGCAAGTACGAGCCTTGGGATTTACCTGGTAATACATGATTGTTAGGCATATACAATCTTGTTCTGTTGTGTTTTTAGTATTTGGTACTTAAAGACTTGAATTGGGTTGGTTTCGAATTTCGATATTTCGTTTTGTGTTGCATTTGCAATGCAGGGCTGTATGCAGAGCCACAGTCGCCATATCAGGATATGTTCTTCTTCAGCCCAAGGGATTACAAGTACATCAACAAAAGCGCTCGCACCAACAGGGCCACTGAACGAGGCTTCTGGAAAAACACAGGCAAAGAACGTGTGATCAAGGGTGCTCGAGAGTCCATTGGGAGAAAGAAGACCTTGACCTTCTATGAAGGTCGTGTGCCTAAATGTAACAAGACCAACTGGGTCATGCACGAGTATTATCTCTGTGAAGATGAAGCCATTCCAAATCCTAAGCTGGCCCAGCAGGTCGTTCTCTTTCATCCATGCTTGAGCATCAAGTTTTGTCTGTTGGCTTAGTGTTTCATGAACTAATGCTTTTGATGTGTTTGTGTGTGATCTTGTAAGAATTGCAATTGATTATCATTTTAACTTATATATGCAGAGGGATTTTGTTCTGTGTCGCTTGAAGAAAAAAACAGATAAGAAGGATGCTTCAACCTGTGCTGAAGCTGAACCTGCATATTATGAATGGCTTGGGATTTCGGAGGTGAGATAGCTTGCTCTGATACCAGGAAGGAAGTTGAGGTTCCACCCCATAATCAATTAGCAATAAGAGGAGTAGACAAACTCCTCTCAATACGTGCAATTGGTTTTCGAATGAAACCTCAACTTCCTTCAATACAAACGTCTTATTATGGGTATATCCAAACTTGACCGCTCGCTTGTTTATGATTCTTAATACAGGAATGTCCTCAGCCAGAAGAACTGGAATTAGTCTTTCCTGCACTTCAGCTATAGGATAACATCTCGGAGGAGATGGAGTCTGAGATTTTTAGCATGACATGACCTGCTGCTGGAGCTTACTATATGTATTAGTATTAAACCTTTCTCTGCCATTTTATTTTCAATTGTACCTTGTGTTGTGAGTATTGTATTATGCTGTATTTGGTATTTCCATATTTAGTATTTTAATTCTTAATCTCACTAATTAATTTGAAATTTAGTTTAATTTATTGCTTCAACAGTGGTAATGGTCATGCCCCCATGCTCCCTCATGCTGTGTAGGGTTGGTGCCCTGCACTTTAAATTAATGAAATTTAGTTTATTGCTTCAACAGTGGTAATGGTCATGCCCCCATGCTCCCTCATGCTGTGTAGGGTTGGTGCCCTGCACTTTAAATTAAGCTAGGAAAGATTTCCCAGAAATAACCATGGTGGCGGTTCTCTCTCAAATCATTTGAGAAAATCACAGTAATTTTACCACATGAAATTCAATTTGCTTGGTGACAGCAAAATCATTTGAGGTACCAATGGGTGCAAAATTTTACATGACTTCCCATCTAATTCCAAAATGTCATTTTCCCTGTAATAAAAGGGAATAATGTACAAACATGGCACTTAAAAAGATCACCACGATTTTTCAAGAATAAATTTTCCTTGTTAATGTGCAAAATTCGGTCATCTTTTTTTTTTTTGAATTAATGTAGAGTATTTCGTGTTTGTATGTATATGTACTCTCCCAACGCCAAAACAACAAAATACTCTCTCAATTATTTTCTCAAATGAATATTTTTTTTTTTGGGTCCAAGTAAATCATTTCATTATGTTTGTTTAATAGTTGCGGAAAATAAGTTTCCTTTTTACTAATGTTTGGAATTCGGTTTTTTTTTTGGGGGTCGAATACTTGTTTCATTGTTTTTTTCCGGGTCTTATGTTCTTTTTTATTAAGAGGTTGTGCTAAGGCTTCATAGACACGGTTTGATTATACTGTAAACCGTCTTTAATAGAGTTGTACTTATGTGAACAATAATGTGGTCCATAATTTATGGTGCAGAATCGCCCATGTATGAATTACACATTATTTGCATTGAAATTCATTATAAGTTTTCGATGTGATTAGTCCATATCTTTATCAAAAGTTAGATAATCTGATTTACTAGAAGAGGTACAATGGCAATCGGCAAGTGGGGAGCAGATAACAGAAAGAAGAAAGAAAAATGAGAATGATGGGTACTTTTGGTGCAGAGAATGGAGGCAAATATTTGAGGTGGGGTCGAAGAATACTTGGTGAACAAGTTAATGAAAGACTAGTTGGGGGCAAAGTTTCAAAAGCCTATTAGACACCATTTCTCCAATCAAGAATAAGATGGATGCCTCACACCCCTAAAAAACAAATCCCATTAAAATCAAAACCATTATCAGTTGGCAGTGCCAAGATTGTTTAAATATCTCATGTTTGTCTTTTTCCCTTTTTTTATTTATTTTTATTTTTTTGTAGGAAGGAAGGAACAGGCTCCCAATTAGCACTTATCTAAAATTCAAAGCCAACCCCAGCAACACCACCAATGCCAATGCGAATTACAAGGGAATCTTGAAAAGGTTAGGAAATGGAAAGGAGTTTTCCATAGTCGATGTTTGCTTTGTAGTTTCATGCTTTTGCACATTTATGCCTGCTTTGGTTGGTTAGAAAATTTTACTTTATGCACTACTCTCTGCTTTGTTTATTGAGAGTAGAGAGAAGCCTGTAAATTTCTTTGATGTTAATTATTGAGTGAACATGAAGTGTATGCATTTGTCTTTAGAAGAATCTAGATAAAGGGTTTTTGAGTGAACATTGAAAATCCCATTTGTAGTTCATGTAAGAAAAAAACAAGAAGGCAAAAAGAGTGTTGTGCCAAACCAACTATAGATATTTATAAAAATACCCAATTTTAGACATGTATTTATAAAAATACCCAAGCACTATTTAAACATAGAAACATACCCAAAATGGGTTTTGGGTATGTGTGTAATGATGGGTTTTGGGTATGTTTATAAATGGATTTTGAGTGTGTGTAATGATGAGTTTTGAGTATGTTTATAAAGTGTTTTGGGTGTTGGGTATTTTTATAAAGAAGGCAAAAAGAGTGTTGTGCCAAAAAAACTAAAGTTAACTTGATGTTTAAACAGGAGGGGCCGATAGTGTAAGGATTCATAACTTTGGTTTTGCCAATTTTTAGAAGATATGGAACAATCTATTACATACTCTAAACCACATGGGTGTTACATACTCTAAACCACATGGGTGTTAAATGTAATTAGACCTTAAATTTATTCATCAAACATTGTCTACATGTAGCAATGTGTCATCTATTTAAATTTGACATCACTTTGGCGACGCAATTTTTGTTAGCCTGGTAAAACTATTCATATTTTAATGTGGAATTCGATGTACGTAGGAAAAGGACATCTAACTTACTAATAAAGGACCAGAGAATATTTTTATGACTTGATCGAGGGCGATTCCAAAATGTAAAGTATCTAACAAGCTAGCCTGCAAGAGGGGTTGATGAAAAACAACATTTAAAAAAAGAAAAAGAAAAAACGCGTGACGTGTCAGCAAAACTTGTTTCCTCGGAGGGATTGGGGTGAGTTTGTCTATAAAATACTTCATTCTGTTGATGCCCTTGCAGCTTCTTCTTGCTTAGAGAGAGAGAGAGAGAGAGAGAGAGAGCGAGATGGACAGCAACTTCAGATTCCTTCCCACTGAAGAAGAATTGGTGCACTACTTGAGGAAGAAGAAACAGGTTGACCACATCATCCCTGAGATTGATATCAGCAACTACGAGCCTTGGGATGTACCTGGTAATCCATTAATACTGTATATGATTGTTATGTATATACAATCTTGTTCTGTTGTTAATTAAACCCCAAAAAAATTAAATAAATAAAAAAAGTTCTTCTTGTGTTTTTAGTATTTGGTACTTGAAAACTTGAATTGGGTTGGTTTCAAATTTGGATATTTTGTTTTGTGTTGCATTTGCAATGCAGGGCTGTATGCAGGGCTGTTCACAGAGCCAGACTCGCCATATCAGGATATGTTCTTCTTCAGCCCTAGGGTTTACAAGTACATCGACAATAACTATGCTCGGACTAACAGCGCCACTGCGCGAGGCTTCTGGAAAACCACAGGCAAAGAACGTGTGATCAAGGCTCGAGGGTCCATTGGGAGAAAGAGGACCTTGATCTTCTATGAAGGTAACAAGACCAACTGGGTCATGCATGAATATTCTCTCATTGAAGATGAAGCCAACCCTCCTACTCCTAAGCTGGCCCACCAGGTCATTCTCCTTCATCCATGCTTGTTATATATTTTGTGCTGTGTTTGGCTTGTGCAGCATCAAGTTCCATTGGCTTAGTGTGTGATCACTGATCTTATAAGAATTGCAAATGCTTATGATTTTGATAAGGGGTCTTCAACTTATGCAGAGGGATTTTGTTCTGTGTTGCTTGAAGAAAATTCAAGATAAGAAGGATACAGAAGAACCGGAATGAATCTTTCCTGCACTTCAGCTACAGGATTACACACTGCAGATGGACACAGACAGAAGTGGGAGACATGTTTAGCATGGGACCTGCTGGAGTCTTACTATATGTATTAGTATTAAACCTATCTCTGTCACTTTCAAGTCTCAGTAATATGTATTAGTATTAAACCTATATTTTTCTTTTCATTTGTATCCTTGTGACTATTGTATTGTATTGTATTGTATTGTATTGGTATTTCCATATTTAGTATTTTAATTCTTGATCTCGCTAATTTGAAGATATCAAATCACATGTGAACAGAGAAAAGAAAAGGATATTTTATTGCTTCAACAATGGTGATGGTCATGCCCTTCATGCTCCCTCATGCTGGGTAGGGTTGGTGCCTTGCTCCTTGACAGCTAGAGGCTCATACCAACGAGAACGAGGCCCAAACCCAGCAGCTTTCCTCACCTCTTCATTGAAAGGAGGCTTCAAAGTCCCCCTGAAAATACGACCTCACATTTGCATGAAACTTTTTAATCACTTCATCTTCTTCATCATCAGACACCAGCCGCATGCAAAGATACTAACCACTTCACTCCAGCAGCACAGTGGGTTATTTCTTCAGGGTAGACCACGCTGTCTAGCATATCAGTTGTTGTGTCATCACCTCCGTTTCGGAACCAGGAGGTGTTTGTTGGCAGCACATCGAGGCCTCTTGCCTCATGCACCCAATGCTCGACGGCCAGGGGTGCGGTTAGGTCTTTGGAAGTGGCAGCGGCAGAGGCCCATAGGCCGTCGTGAGCATGCAATGCTCCATAGAAAGAACCCATCTCCTCAAGCCGAGCTGCGACGAGAGTGAAGTGACGGCCTTTGTCCTGAGACACCTTCACGAAATCCGTGAAGAACTCTCTTGGCATTGCCTCTTGCTTGCCAAACCTAGCAATTATGTCCTACAAAAATCATATAAACTATTAAGGCAGTCTGTAAGATTTATGGGATTTTGTGTAAAATTTCAAAATCTTATGATACTTTAATAAGACGATGAATAAGACGAATTCAGAGTTTCAAACATTAGAGACAATTGATTTAAACAATCAAAGTTTTCAACTTAAAATTGAATAAACGAACTTAGAATTAACATAATTGAAAATACCAAATAACAATATGAGAAAGAAAGCTACTGTGCAGAATTTTGCTCCAATATGCAGGATATGCGAGATTGTTACTGGATGAGTGCTAATTGATATGTGACCTGAAAAGCCACGGATCAATTGGCACTCATATCACGCAATTTTCATCCTGCATTGGTGAAAAGCTAATGTTTTGCAATACAGCCCTACGATTCCCTAATCAGGGTTCCTAATTCCAACAAAAAGCTGTCACATATTCTTTTTCCTTCTTATTTAACTTAAAGTTGAATAAAAGAACTTAGAAACCAACATAATTGAAATACCAAATAACAATATGAGACAGAAAGCTACTTTGCATGATTTTTCTTCAATGCAGGATAAGTAATGCGAGATTGTTGCAGGATGAGTGCCGATTGATACGTGACGTGGAGTCATATATAGCTACAGATCAATTGGCACTCACATTACGCAACTTTCTTCTGCATTTGAGAAAACCTCATGTTTTGCAATACACCGCTACGTACAACTCCCTAACCAGGGTTCCTAATTCCCATCCCAACATGAATGTATCAAGTTTTTTTGTCACATGAAATTCAACTTGCTTGGTGACACAGCAAAATCATTGAGGTACCAATGGGTGCAAAATTTTGCATGACTTTCCATCTAATACCAAATGTCATCTTCCCTGTAAATTAAGGGAATAATGTACAAACATGGCACATAAAAATATCAGGATTTTTCAAGAATAAATTTCCTTGTTAATGTGCAGAATTCGGTCTTTTTATTTTGAATTCATGTAGAATATTCGTATTTGTATGTATAAGTACTTTCCCAGGGCCAAAACAACAAACTACTATCTCAATTTTTTTTCAAATGAATAAATAGTTGCGGTAGATGAAGTTTCCTTTTATTTGGGTCAAATACTTGTTTCATTGCAAGGCAATTATAGACCCGAGTCATTCTATAGTGAGGGTCTTGTTAACAAAAGAGAAGTAGAGAGAGAAGAAGAAGATGAACAAATCTGTATTATTTTCTCAGAGAACCATACAATACAGAGAGTTAAGCTTTATAAGGCTCCAACTAATTACAACAACTTACTAACTAATTCTAACATCAGTCAATGACTAAGTGACACTTGTCACAATCCTAGCTCTACATACTCTAACATCCCCCCGCAAGATTATGGGTGGAGAAGCCAACCATGAGATTGGAACAATGTCTAAACCAAAAAAGTAGAAAAGCCTTGAATGTGCTGTAGTTGAAGCTGAGTAGACTACATATTTGTTTGCTTGGAGCACCAATCCAAAGCTTGAGATAGAAGAGTACTGCTATAGTGAGCTGCATGTGAAGCATATAACCCAGCAAAGAGTACCAACTCTATTCCAAATCAATGATGTAATCAGACCCCCACATCGAGATAGAGATAGAAGAAGAGAAGAGAGAAATTCTAGAAAGAGATAGAAGAAGAGGAGAGGGAAATTCTAGAAAGAGATAGAAGAAGAGAAGAGGGAAAAATTACAACAACTTACTAACTAATTCTAACATCAGTCAATGACTAAGTGACACTTGTCACAATCCTAGCTCTACATACTCTAACTCCTCCAAGAATATTATTACCACTCTCTCTTTCTCTTTCTCTCCTCCCTGTGTGCAACCTCTAATATTACACAAGCTTTGAGATTGGAGAAACAGATAGAAGAGAATGAGATATGAGAAATTCTTTGTTCCTTGAGATAAGAAGATTGAGCAGATAATTGTGAAGACCGTATTTTTAAAAGTATATATATTAATAATTTGAAGAAATAAATATTTATCTAATTCTATTATATTTATCCTATTATATTATATATATATATATGTATTATATATATCTTACGCATGATATGTATTACTTTCATTAGTTAATTGATTCTTGAATAGGTAGTTAGGTGTCACTCTTACATGCTAGTGGCAAAGCTATGTTTACTAGCCTTGTCTACTCATCATTCTAACATGAAAATTGTTAGGATACAATTGGTGGAATTATAATCACCAACGTGTCTTCTACAATTGGTGGAATTGTAATCACCAACGTGTCTTCCTAGCACTATATTCTTATCTATTGTTAACTTTCTTATCTATTGTTAACTTGGAGTGCAAGGCCATTTACTTGGAGATTAAGTTCTTACATGTACTGTAGCAACCGACTTCTTCTTAGTATAAATAGGAATAGATGTTCATTCATTTCAAGCAAGAATTATTTGAGAAGAAGATGATAGTTCTTTTAGTGGGAGAGAGAGAGAGAGAGAGGTGATTATTGGAGGAGATAGGTAGATGGGTTGTCTTGCCAATTTATTTAAAGGGTTCTTATTAGCGAGGTGAGTGGTTTATGTAATGTGTTCTAAAAGTTCTTATTTTGTGATAAAATATGAAAACCATGAATTATCGTGGATTTATTCTATTTACAAATATCTCTCTATTTCAAGTCAAGCATGTCTAATTTGGTGCAATCTTTCACACTATATATATATTGATTGGAATATGAAGTATGTATTATTCATGGAACATGAGAACTTCAATGTTGGAATATCCGAGGGATAGATGTACCACACGGGGACATAGGGCAGTGAAGCCAATATAGGGATCACGTGGTTGGTTACATGCTATGAAGGATAACCGAGATATGAAGGGATGATGTGATATGATCTGGATTGGTGTATCTTTTCATTATATTTTCTAGAGTGTGTAAAACGGCATTGCTTGACTGGCATATTACATAATCTACTCACTGAGCGGTGGTTGCTCATCCCTCACTCTGTTTAATTTTTCAGATGAATTAGTGGGCAAGACAAGGACTAAACCAGTTGAGGCTGAATTAGATGAGAGTGATAGAGCTTTATTTATTAATTGTAAAGTTGTAAGATTTTGGGAACTATTTTTATAACATAAGTTTATTTTAAACTTTTCTTTGTATTTCTTTTTATTTTATTTTACTCACGCACCGGGCGCGGGGTTTCCGCCTACCCCCGGGTCCGGGGCGTGACAATAATTGTGACAAAACCATGTAAGTATTGATCGACTGAAGATTTGCTTATCCTCCAAAGAATTGGGATTTAAATGACCAGAATAGGGGTACTGAGATTTTGGATGCACAAGAAAATTAACAGAGCAAATAACAAATGAACCATCAATATTTGATCAATGGTGATGTATTCAAGAACATGAAATTGATTTTATAGCAAGCAAAGGTGAATAGAAAGCTTGAATCTTTGACTATAGGTATTCTCCAATTATTGAAATCAGAGAGATAGAGGATGAACAATAGACATACCCAACCAGAAGAACATCCATAGGATTCATAGGACCCAAATAGCAGAATTGCAACTAACAATCTGAAATCCACCACATATCATAATTGAGTAAAGATACTGGCTTTAGTAACAGTAGAAAAGCGATCCTTCAATGTAACCCACATGTTACAAGAATTGGTACACTCAATTACACAGGAAATTGCAGTGGAAGAGAGAGTTGCAATAAGCCGCTGCATCAAGGCACGATCGTGCATCTTCCAGACTTGATAAGCATCAATCTCAACACCTTCAAGATCTAAATCTTTATCAAAATGTGTAGGACATTTCACTGAACCATCCACAAAACCCGAGAGGCCATGACCTTCAAGAAGAAGATTCATTTGGAAATGCCAAGTCCAATAATTTGTATCATCAAGCTTGACTGTCACAAATGTATGTAGAAACAATAGGAATGAGAGTTGCAATCAGAGATTGAACAAGTTGAAGTTTGAGTAGGAGTCACCATCTTGTTGAACAACAGAAAGAAAGAAAGAGTTGCAAAGAACAGTCGATGAGGCAATAGAGCGAACATGTAGTAGGCAAAGCGTAGAGAACAATTCTTGGCACTATCGTGAAGAAAGAAAAGCCAAAGAACCAGAAGCAAGAGAACAAAGATGAGTAGAGATTGGAAGGGGGAAGCAGAAAAGCTCGGAATTGATCAAGTACATTGAAAATTCCCAAAACCGAGTATCAATTGAGTATTATCCCAAAATCAGTAACAAACCCCAATTGAGACGTCCTCGAATCAAATATGAGACTGAAAAATCCCAAATAACTAGAAACACTAAAGGCAGTTTGATGAAATTGATAATTCAAGAATGAAGTGGAAGAATCAGATATAGACGTCGATTTCCATGAAGTTCTAGAAAAGAATGTCAAGGCATAGAAAGCGGAAGCAAAAGAACAAAGGATCGATCCATGGCTCTGATACCATGTTAACAAAAGAGAAGTAGAGAGAGAATTAAGAAGAAGATGAACAAATCTGTATTATTTTCTCAGAGAACCATACAATACAGAGAGTTAAGCTTTATAAGGCTCCAACTGATTACAACAACTTACTAACTAATTCTAACATCAGTCAATGACTAAGTGACACTTGTCACAATCCTAGCTCTACATACTCTAACAGGTCTTAAATGAGGATCTTATCTCTTAACCGTTGGATCAAACTAACGAATTTGATCCAACGGCTAACCAATTTTATTCAATGGTGAAAAGATAGGGCCTCATCTGAGGGCCCGAAGGCCTTAGACAAGGCCCTAAATATAGAATTCTTGCACCGTATAATGGTTCAGTTATAAACTCGAGCACCGTTTGTCACGTGCCTTAAGTGCAAGTAGATGGGCATATTGCCTCAACCAACCAGCTTACCAAGTGACCATATTTCTTAAATCTTGAAAAAAAATAGACAATTATCCATATGAGAGAGAGAGAGAGAGAGAGAGAGAGATAGAGAGAGAGAGAGAGAGAGAACTTGAGGTGGGTCTCTTCAAGTCATTCTATAGTGAGAGCCTTAAGGCCCTTGGATAAGGTCCTATCTCTTAACCTTTGGATCAAACTAATCAATTTGATCCAACGGTTAAGAAATAGGGTGTCAAGCAGTGAACCTGGGGGTCGGTGGAAACCCAGCGCCTGGTGCTTGAGAAAATAAAAAGAAAGCCGAAACAAGGTTTAAAAATAAACTTCTCTTATAAAAATAGCTCCAAAATCTTACAACTTTACAATTAATAAATAAAGCTCTATCACCCCATCTAATCCAGCCTCAACTGGTTTAGTCCTTGTCTTGCCCACCAATTCATCTAAAAAATTAAACAGGGTGAGGGGTGAGCAACCACTGCTCAGTAGGAACATGATACCTTATTGCAATAGATTGATATAACTAAATTAAGTGAATACAATCACACTGCCAAATATCACATTAATAATAATAATGCATGAATGCTCTTCATCTACTCTCGTTAATTCATATAATTGGACAAGCAGACCTGCACGTCCCATACCATGCTTATACCACTTGGTCCCGAATGCCCATTTATATGAACTAACACCCATCTCAATCATCCCATAATTCCCCTTTTGTTTGTCATCTTGTCTAACTCCCTGTCATTAGTCCCGAATCACCCAATAAAAACCATGTGCATTATGGGATCCTTGAGACCTGGTACCTGCTGTTGCGTAGATACAGCTGCACCAAAATGGATTCAGTTGCATCCTCAACTTGTGATACTCGCAAGTGCACGAGCCGT